GGGACTCCGAAAAGAAAATAGAATTGTGTATTGATGCCTTTAGAAGTATTATTTGAGGGCAATAAAATATTCCCTGAAATTCCCTCCTGAGTGGAGAAAATGGAGTTTGTTTGCAGTAATTGCATTTTCTAGCATTTGCTTTTGCACTTTCCAATATGAGTTAAGCCAATTGGAACCTGTGATTTCGTTTTGCTTATTGGCAAAAGTACCATGTAAATTGATCTGTGATGCATTTATAGAGAATGCTTTGAAAATTTTGAAATAGAGATGGCTTTTTCTTATTAGATTCAGATAGTATTAGGGTTCATTTCTATATTTTAGCCTAATGTAATAGTAGCCAAAAATGTTCCTTTTCAATTTAGTCTTAATCAAGTTCAAGGAGAACATTTCTACTTGGCCCCACTGGCACTGTGGAGGCAGATTTTATGTTCCAATTCTCAGCCTTGGTGTTCAGAATTAAAAACTTGAGCCATTGGAAACCACACAGAGCTGAAATCCGTCTAAAACTCGTCAGCCCCGGTGCATCAAGATCTTGATCACAAGAGAAAATGTAGAATTCTGTTGGACAAAATGTAGCATATTTCTGTGTATTTGCTGTACACATGCACTGTAGACCTTAAACTACAGGGGGCTAGATGCAAGTCTTATTGTAAGTGTAAATGTGGGGTGATTCTGTTTAGAGGAACACCCTTCAGCTCTGCCAGGCAAAAGCTGTTCTTGCCTGAAATCCTTACCTGTTTTCTCAGGCGGGTGCTATTTTGCTTAAGGAATCTCTTCGGGAGTGCGCGCGTAGCACCGGCGCAGTCGCGGTAGTCCGTCATGTATTGCTTTGCTGTGGCAGGGGGAACTGTAGCAGGGACCACCATTTCTGCAAGAATCCTTTTTAAAAATTAAGGAGGGAAAAATAAGGTTATTGTGATTTGCAGGGAATTTTCTAAATTTAAAGGGAAGGTTCATAGCTGTCAGCATTTTTGTTACATGATTTTTTTTTCCCCCCCTTAAAATCTCGGTGGTTTCGGTTACATAATTACAAGCCTGAAAAGAAAGCCTTTCCAGGGACTAACAGGCAGCAAAATCTGTGCTGCCTGTGTTTCAGATTTCATAATTTTGAAGTCAATTTGGGAGGCCTTTTTTACACCTAAAGTTGGCAGTGCTGTGAGCTGCAAAATCTAGAGGCTTTTCTAGTTTCAAGGTTAGACTAAACAAAAACTTCACATTCCGTCTGTTTCAAAACAAAGAAATGTTATGTATGAATTGATAAAACCTTAGTGAAGCTTTCCATGTTTCCAGGAAGAATGTTTCAGTAACAGCAGCCCAGTGAAATTCCAACCAACTCGGCTATCAAAACCCAACACATGTCATGTCGGAGTGATGCTGAGGAGGCTGTGGACCACTGAAGTGAAACCAGAGATTGTCACGTTGCACTACGTTTTTTCTTTAAACAGAGAAGAGAAGGATATTAATCACAAACAGTTACATTAGAATAATGTTATGGTTGAGACATAAATACATAAAAGCAAGGAATTGTTACCAGTTCATCAGACCCATAGTGAACTAGGTTCTGCAGCGTAGGCCCTGTTGCAGGGTTCGTGCTGCACGTGTCGATGTTACGGCCCGATGTTGTGCAAAACTCACTACATTTATGGGACAGAGCTAGGGGAAGCACTTGGTATTGGGTCCCGCAGACTCTGCAGTGTCGCACGTCTCCAAAGTGCCCACATGGGTCAAGTAGCACCTGTACGTGCGGGCGCTCGGAGAGGGCCGTGTTGGCTGCGACACCTTGGCGCTGCGTCGCCGAGTTGCAGGTGCTGAGGCGAGATTCACTCGAGACTTCCTTGCTTTCATGGGTTTATGACTCAACCTTGGCATTATTGTAACGTAGTTTTTTGTGTTTAATGTTTCTTAGACTTGGTTTTCCATTGCCAGCATGGAAGAAATCCTAATGCATGAGTTTCAGAGGAGAAGGTAGCAGTCTGAACCTGCTGTGTGGCTCGATCCGCAAGTGTGAGTATTAACGCTAGAGCTGTCAGGCCTTGTGAAAATTAATGAAGCCTGACGGTTACAGAGTGAAAGGTCAGAGGCAGAGCTTGCACTTACCTAACATTTCTGTTTTGTTGTGTCTAACAGCGTTTTCAACAAAGGGGAGCTTTAATGTACAAGCTTTAGATTTATCACAGGAATTCAAGGGTCTCAGCCTTTGCTTCTCCCTGTGCTGTGGTCTGATGTTTTCTTTGCATAAAGGCAAAACAGTTAAACTTTTTCTTCTTGCTGTGTTGCCTGTGTGTGTTTTGCCTGTATTTTTCTTTCTCCAAAATTTTCTTTTGGAGGAAAAAAAAGAAAGGCATCTGAACTGATGATAGTTTAAAAGCTGGTGGAGTACTTTCATCAAGAAGCTTTTGAGAGATCTTGTACTTCAGCTCTTTGTACTTCCTTAGAAGCATGTTCTGTTTCTGTGCATGTTCCGTCTTTTATTTGCTTGCTTTTTTGTTTGTAGTCATTCTGTGGATTTCTACAGGTGCAGAGAGGCAAAATGCATAGAAATACGTGGGTTATGTTTTCGGCCATTACGCTGGGTAACATCAGTTTTAGGCATTTGATTGAGGCCTTTTTGTGAAGGCAGTTTGATTAAAACAGCCAGAATATTTTCATTATCAGTTAGACAGCCTTATTCTGGAGAAGATGTTTGGTTTTTCCTAACTCCAGTTCTGGATCGCAGTACCTGCAGCTGATTGTTGGTGAGAGAAGTCCAGCTTATCATTCGAAAGCTTGAGTCTATATAACTGTACTTATACAGTCCAACTCATTTGTTGCTGCCGAGGGAGAAATCGGAGCCTTTGAGATGCTCTGTCTTTCTTTTTAAAAAGCTGAAATGGCCTTAAGTTGCTCGAGGGGAGGTTCAAATTGGATATTAGGAGAAACTTCCTCACCAAAAAGGCTGTCAGGCATTGGAACGGACTGCCCAGGGAAGTGGTGGAGTCACCATCCCTGGAGGTATTGAAGAGGCGAGTTGATGTAGTGCTTAGGGACATGGTTTAGGGAGCACTTGGCAGTGTTAGGTTGACAGTTGGACTCAGTGATCTTAGAGGTCTTTTCTAACCAAAACAATTCTGTGATTCTATGAAAGTGGCCCGTGTTTCTTGCGATTGCGCTGTAAATGCTGGGAACAGAAAAAAACCATGGCCCTGAGATGGAGTGGACTTTTGATGAGAAACCTCTGTGCTGGCCAGTAGCAGGTTCTGCTGGTTGCCCTTGCCTGCTGCCGTGGCCAGGTGACTGATAGCTGACCTGTGCTGCTGTGGGGACTGGGAGTCCATAGGAACAACGTGGAATCTGCTCCTTCGGAGTCTATCTCTGGACGTGGATGTGGTCGGTTCTAGGTGGATGCTCCATGACCAGTTTTGCACTTCTGAGGCACATATGCTATTCTATACGTGGTGTGTAAACATGGCAAGAATCACTTGCACATCTCGCGTGTACAGACCTTCCCTCTTTTTGAGGGGACTGCAATTTCTGCCTCAAGGTTTCTCAGCCCATTTCTCAACATATGGCCAAAGGGTCTATGAGGCTATGAAATGGGCAGGAAAATGCTTCACGTTTCATGGAAGCGTTGTGTGGTTTGAATAGTTAATGTATGCGTATGCATATTCAGAGCTTCACATCAAAAGCACTTGCATAGCCTTTGTGTGTAAATACAGGTATCACATTATTTCTTATTCCCCTACTTCCCTGTGGGTTTTCTAAGTAAAAGTAGTCGAAAAGTAATGTGATTTTTCTATTTTTATAGGGACTCAGCAGTTAACATTCATTGCCAGTCAGACTCCTTTTCATGTCTGGCAGCTCTACCGAACTTGGGTTGTGTGACTAAATTGTGCTCGTATGAAGCATGCCATTAAAACAGGAATGATTGTTTGACAGATTAAGGACTCCTAGGATCAAGGACTTACGGCAGACTTAAAAAAAAACAGTGGAAAGCTTGTTACGTAGGTTAAACATACCCAACAACCCCCCACGTTCCCCAGCTTCCCCCTTGAACCATGTAATAGCTGTATCAAAAGTCAGTTTGTTGTCCAGCTAACACTTGAGATGTAAGTGGTTGCAGCCAGCAAAATAAGTCCTGCCCAACCAGTATATGCAGAGCCTTATTTTTCCGTTGGATTATTTTCCTGATCTGCTCTGCTCCACGGCCACCAAATCCATGTGTTGGCAAAGAGGCATGGTGGCACAGGAGTGAGGATGAATGATGGGGGGGACAAAGGTACTGTAGCCTGAGGGCTGGCTTGTTAAATGAGAAGTCACAGAGGTCTTCTGAGACTCCCAGATTAATTTATGTGCTATAAACAATTTGGTTTTTACAAGTCACTCACAGTTAACTACTTCGTTTTTATTTGAGCAAGAGTTATACTGACCTTTTGTCTTCCAGAAGAGAATAGCTTGCCTAATTGCAGTGTTTTCTTAATCAATGGTTACATTGTACCCTTGTTTCTACTGCTGAGGGCAGATGTTGAAAAACATCTTAGCCAAAATAATATAAATATATATTGAGGATACACATGTGCGCAGGCATATGCAGAGATTAATCTGGCCAAGAGGAAACTAAAATACCGTGGAGTAGGAGATTCTGTGTGTGACTGTTTGTTTCCATATTAAACACAGAAGGTCAGCCGATTACAGGCAAAGGGCAGGACTGCCAAAGGAAAAAATGCCAAAATACTGCATAAATTGTATCAGAGAATGGATGTTGTGCACTGCCACAGGGCCTTTCAGGAGGGAAAACCTGAATGCAATGAATAAATAGCTAATCGGATTGCAGGTAATTTATTACTGTGATTAGTGCTATACAGTCTTTCCTCAGGGAGGAGGAAAGAAATGGATGAGACCTCTCCTGATGCTCCCCTTTGCTTGGGCCTGGCTCGTCATGTGTTTGCATTTGGTTGAGTCGTGTTGCTCACCGCCAACTCCAGAGAAGGAAGGCAAAATGTGACAGGTTAGAAAGTCAGGCAATGAGGTGGGGAGCCTGGTCAGACCTTCGTGCCCATCCTATGGTAAATATTGAAGTACGTACGGATCTGGAGCAAAAGACGTCTTGTCGCTGGACGGATGCCTGGGCCCGCAGCTGCCACACCCCCGCCAGCGCTGGTTACTCCAGCTCGCAGGCTGCGGGTGCGCAGCGCCACCGAGCTGGTGCTTACAGGCAGATGTTTGACAGCCTTGGGTCCCTGTGGAGTTTCTCCTCCAGGGCCTGTTTTACCTTTTTCCTCAGTCCTGGTGTTGGTCCTTGGGTTTCATTGGTGTGGCCATGTCCTGCACCCCCGGGCTGCGCTGGGGAGAGGCTGTTCTCTCCCAGGAACCCCTCCTCCAGAAGTGACTGAGCGGAGCCTCTCCATAGTCTTAATAAAATCAACGGCTGTCTTGACACCAATTGCAGTAAATACTGTTTGGTTTTCCCCGTGGATTTCAGGTGCTTATATAACATGCACGAAGTCACATTTATGTGTTCTAATAATCACCGGTGCCACCATTGCTTTGCCTTTTCGTGCCTTCGAAGGAAGCCCTTTTTCAAGCTGTCAAGATAAAAAAGAATTGTCTTCAAGCTAAATGTTCCAGACTTAATTGGACATAATATCAGCAAAATGTGCTGATTTTCAAGTCTCTCAGAATTAATGGGAGAAATTGTAACACTTGGACGTTTATCCAGTAAGATGAGAAGTTTTCTTTGCTAAAACTGGCAAACGTTGATAACTTGGCAGAAACCTGAATTTAACTTCTCTATTCTACTTCTCCAAGGATTTAATCACATCTAGCTTGTTTTGGGGGATTGATAGTTATGACAAGTGTATCAAATTTCATGCCAGTGGTATCTTTTATGTTTCCTGAGAGAGGAGAAAATAGCAATTTTACCTTATGCCCAGCAGTCACAGAGAGCAGGAATTGTAGGTACCTGCCACATCGAGTTTTTAAATAAAAATGAATTGCAGAGCAGCATGTAGCAGAGATGGGGAGGGAAGAGGGAAAGGAGTGAGGCATAAACTGTAGAGGAGCATTTATTGCATTTCCCCAGCTTTTAATCTAATGCAATGCAGCAGAGAGTTCTGAATATGTATGATCCACATGGGAGATGTCTATGAAGATGTCTGCTTGGGTTTTTTTCTGGAGATTTACAGCTTTTTGTTTTTCTATCCAGAATTTACTAATTTTGCAAAGATGATGTTTCTGTACATATCTTGTGTAATTCCTATTCCAGTGCTGTAAATATTGAAAAGCCAGAGGGTTTTGACTGGTTCCCCTGAAGTCTTATTTAGGGGGAAGTTAATTGTACATAAATACTTACAGCTTTACTTTGAAACTTACTTGTAGAAAAAGAACACAAAGCCAAGCGGTTTTGAAAGTTGAAAGACAAGTTTTAAACTAGAAAAGCCACATCTATTTAGGAGAACTGTATTAATGAGAAATATATAGCATCCAGTTCTGTGTTCCTGAGGGCAGACGTTGGGAGTACCAGAACTGGAAATTGGACCCAGAGATGTCCACATACATTTTGCTGCTCTTGTGGAAGGAAAGAAAAAAGGAAAAACCAACAAAACCCCCAATCTTTTCTAAACTATTATTAAGAATATACAACAAAATTAATGATGTGGTGTAAGACTAGGAAATCAGGCTTACGGTGAAGGCAGTAGAAGGGAGGTGTGAGTCTCGTTTTAGCTTGGGTGCAAACTTCTGTGTGAAAGTCACAGTGGGACAACTTTTGTGAAAGAACCTAACTTCTCTGAAGGCACCACAGTATGGGACCGTATTTTTAAGGGAGCTCATCACCCAGTATGTTTGTTTGGAGAATCTGGCACTGATTGTTGGTACCAAGTGCATGAAAATCTGTCTCTGAACTCTCAAAATCTGGCTCCCTGGGCCTGATCCATGCCTTGTTCCAACAATGAAAATCAGTTGCTCTGATTTGAGGTGATCAAGCCTGTATTCTTTATCTGTGATCCTCATGGTAAATGAATTAACTGCATTTCCTTTTCCCTACCTGATGTCTTGCTTGAATTTCATAGTTTCTTCTACATATGTGCATCGTACTGAAATCAGATACTGCCATAAAGGGAATTGTAGTAATAAAGGGAAAGTCCATTGCAGGTGAATTGGAGCTTTGAAGAAGAGGCTAGGTCTGGAATAAATGCCACTTGAACGCTTTGAAGTTCCGTGAAGATTAATCCAAGTAACTCCATATTTAAAAAACCAACGCCACCAGCAGCCTGCTTCAGTACGGCATGCCTGCTACCATCACAGCGTACTGATGAGGTGTGCCGTGGGCTCTGGTCTGCCCACCCACTCAGCCCCCCGAGGTGTCTTCGTGGCAGGTCGCTCCTATGGATTAGGACTCCGGACTCCTGCCTGTGACCCGGTCCCACGGATTAAGTGATAGGACTGAGTCACCTCTTGGGCTGCTCTAAACCAGCGTATCGTCAGTTGAAAGCAAGGGAGCAGTGGTGGATTTTGCCACTTCGGGAGCTGGTTTAGTGCCTACCAGCTTGTTTTGTTAAATTCTTTTTATTGTGACATTGCTTTGTGTGACATTACTTTACATTTTAACACCGTTTCATTCAATGGAAGAGAAGCTGCATTAATAACTTCTGCTCAACACAGATCTCGGGTATTTCGTCCTGTCACTGTTAGCTGTCTGCTTATTGTGCCGGCAGTGCTGGTGTGGGAGGAAAATGTGCTAATTAAGTCCTCTTTTTTGTTATTTCAGGAAACCTACCATATGAATATAAAATAGTGATTGCTGGGAATCATGAACTGACATTTGATAAGGAATTCATGGCAGACCTTGTTAAACAAGATTACTACCGCTTTCCCTCTGTGTCCAAATTGAAACCAGAGGACTTTGACAATGTTCAGTCACTCCTGACAAATAGTATTTACTTACAAGATTCAGAGGTAACAGTTAAAGGATTCCGAATATACGGTGCCCCATGGTAAGTCTCAATTTAAACTTTCTTTGCTGTTTATT